CAAACAGCAAGAGTTTTACTTCTTTGTTGCCTATTTGGATTCCTTGTATTTCTTTTTCCTGCTGAATTGCTCTGGCCAAAACCTCCAGTACTATGTTGAATAAGAGTGGTGAAAGTGGGCACCCTTGTCTTGTTCCTGTTCTGAGAGGGATGGGTTTCAGTTTTTGTCCGTTGAATATGATGTTGGCTGTGGGTTTGTCATATATGGCCTTTATTATGTTGAGGTACTTTCCTTCTATACCTATTTTATTGAGGGTTTTTATCATAAATGGATGTTGGATCTTGTCGAATGCTTTCTCTGCGTCTATTGAGATGATCATGTGGTTTTTGTTTCTCATTTTGTTAATGTAGTGAATCACATTGATTGACTTGCGGATGTTGAACCATCCCTGTGTCCCTGGTATAAATCCCACTTGATCATGGTGTATAATCTTTTTGATATATTGCTGTATTCGGTTTGCCAGAATTTTGTTGAGGATTTTTGCATCTATGTTCATCAGTGATATCGGCCTGTAGTTCTCCTTCTTTGTGTTGTCCTTGTCAGGTTTGGGGATCAGGGTGATGTTGGCTTCATAGAATGTATTAGGGAGTGTTCCATCTTCCTCTATTTTCTGGAATAGTTTGAGAAGGATAGGTATTAAATCTTCTTTGAATGTTTGGTAGAATTCTCCAGAGAAGCTGTCTGGTCCTGGACTCTTATTTTTGGGGAGGTTTTTGATTACTGTTTCTATTTCTTTACTTGTGATTGGTCTATTCAGATTCTCTATTTCTTCCTGATTCAGTTTGGGTAGGTTGTATGAGTCTAGGAATTTATCCATTTCTTCTAGGTTGTTCAATTTGTTGGCAGATAGTTTTTCATAGTATTCTCTTATGATCCTTTGTATTTCTTCGGTATCTGTTGTGATTTCTCCTCTCTCGTTTCTAATTTTATGTATTTGAGACTTCTCTCTTTTTTTTTAGTGAGTCTGGCTAAGGGTTTGTCGATTTTGTTAATTTTTTCGAAGAACCAACTCTTTGTTTCATGCTTTTGCAGTGTTTTGAACTGAGAATGACATGATCTAACTGACATTTAAAAATAATCATTCCCACTGCTGTAGTGGTACAGCATGGTAGAAGCTTGGAGACTAGTCGGGGATATTAGAATAGTCCAGACAAAGAAAGGTGACTGGTGGCAGTGGAAGAGGTTAGAGTGGTTATGTCTAATGTCTACAAAACTATGCCATTGCCTGGGACTATTAAGCAATTTAAAAAATATATGTCTTGAGGGGATACTCTGGGAAGATGACAGCAGCAGCATAATTGTTCTCTCTCCACGTAAACACAGAGAAAGCAACTATAAAGCAAAACCAGAACCCCATGGACAACATCTACAACAAATCTAAGTGAAACAGTATCCCCATGATCTCCAGTATGTTGGCAAGTGGGAGCAAAGACCAACAGCTCACAAAACCTGTGGTATCAGCACAGGGAATCAGTTAGGCATCTGGAGAACTCCAAAATAGCCAGGAGGTTTCCGCTGGAAGGGCCCGCTGGTCAGGTTGAGAACAGCAGCTGAAATAGGGAGGGGTGTTTGTCATCTCCAGTAGCATGACTGTGCAAGGGGCTCCTAATAAGCTCTGAAGGGACGGGAACAATGTGGCTATAGGAACTCTTGAAACTGACCTACCAGGGCTTCCTTAAGGGGCCACACCAAGAACAACCATTGGACACGGAAACAAAATTGAGCCAAACAGAGACAAAAGAAAGAGAAGGTCCAGAGAAAAATGGAGGACTAGAAAATCTCCAAAAGTAAGCTGACTTTTAAAAATTTTAATACTATACTGTAAAAACAGAAGAGGTTCTTTGTGAAATTAGAAAAGCAACTGCTTCCTTCAAAAAGTTTGAGAAAACCAGTTTCACGTAAAAATAAGCAACAGGAAAGTATGGAAGTCAAGGAAAATGTGAGAGGATAATAATTGCAATGGATTGAAACACATCATATATGTTGAAATCCGTGAGATCATAATGGTATATGTATATATTTTTTAAATCTATCAGTCACCTTCAGAGGATGATAGAGAACCAATTCAATATCTTGAAAACTGGCAAATAAATGGAAAAAATCAATCATTATCCTTGCTGTACAGTATGAACTGTACCACAGTGTAACAAAGCAGTAGGTGAAAGGAATCATCTCTTTATAAAGCATTCTAACTAATAAAAGAAAAAGAAATAATAAAATTTGAGTGTTAAAACCTCCTGTGAATTAATGGACATAGGCATTGAGTATCGAGAGCTGCTGACATCACAAAGGGAGACCAGTAGACATATGTGCCTCACGATGAAAGAAGCAACACCATTCAAATAGCCTTGCCCAAGGGATTGAACCTAAGCCTGAATAAACCTCTGAATTCTCCTGCCAACTTGTAGGAACAGTGGGACATGCAAACTGCACATGAATATTCAACCAGTAAAATTTAGACTGTGAGAAACTTCGCAAGACAAATGGTCCACATTCTTCAACAGATAAATTGTAAGGAAGGGAAAGGATAGAGAGGAAACCAGCAAATGAAAAAAAAAAAGAGCAAGAGACTAAAATATAGTGGTAAGGAACATTCAGGGGATAAAACTATAATGAAATGCAAGTGTAGTGATTTTAAAACATGTCTGCAAAATTTTAAACACTCCTTCCATATAGAACCCCTCCCTTTGAATCTGGGCTGGCCTTAGTGACTCATGTGTAACCAAGAAAATGTAATGGAAGTGACTCTGCATGACTTCTGAGGCTAGGTCATAAAAAATGATGACATTACCTCCTTGCTCACCAGGACACTCACTTTTGGAGCCCTGCACTACTATGTAAGAAATCTGATTTCTATGATGCCACCATGCTGTGAGGAAGCCCAGGCCACCTGGAGAGGCCATGCACAGGTGCTCTGGTGGAGAGCTCCAGCTGAGATTCAGATTGCAGCTGACAGCCAGATCAACTCCCAGACATGTGAGGGAAGATGCTTCTGGTTGATTTCAGCTTCTAGCTGTTGAATCACCTCCAGATCCAGCTGAATCTTCATGGCTCAAACACCATGGAATGGAGACAGTAGTGTTCTATAGCCAGTTAGTACTGGCTTGCAGCAGCCAATTGTTAGCACCTTTTCCCAGCTCCGCTTTCAGTGATGTCACCTGGGTAGTTTGAAATTGGTCGTGGTAGGAATATTTATAATGTGGAAATCAGCAAACACTGCAAACCAGGGGGCATTTCTGCTCTGCTTTGTCTGAATTCCTGACCCATAACATCCATGAGCATAATAAAACAGGATCTTTAAGCCACCTAGTTTCGGAGTCATTATTTTACAACTAGGAAGTGATTACTATAAAAGGACAGTGGTTACTTTTGTGAGGAGGAAGGTGGTTGGGATTGGAAGTTTTGAAACTTCTGGGTTGGCTGGCAAATTCTATTAATGTGGGTGGTGGTTAGAAGGATGTTCATCTTACAATAATTGTCATATACTTGTTTTGTGTGATTTTCTGTATTGGCTTTATTTTGTAATAAAAATTTCTTTGACTTAACCTTTTTTTTATGTAGGAGATGGTAGGATGATGACTTCATTTCTCTTTATTTCCAGTATATATCCAGCAAAATGCATTTTTTATATGGAATAACTATGACCACACTAACTGTTTAATTTTAAAATTTGGAAACCTAAATTATGGAAACATAGAAGAGCCTCATGGTGATACAGTATATATTCAGAAAATAAGCAATCATACAGTCTTAAAGGAGAGAGCCACTATAAAGAGGTCTTCTGATAGTTAAATTCTTAACTCCCCTTGATCATATTAAAAATAAGCTTATTTTAAGTTTATATCAAATATTGTATTTTAACATTTAGGAGGGTGCCAGAGTTTATGGGATATAAAAATAAAAACCTTCTTACTATGTTTCTTATTATGTTTTACATAGAACAGAAATATACTTCTAATTTATTTACTAAGACAATTTTATACTAAATGCTTTGAACATACACAATGTTCATATTTTAGTGTACTAGATACTGCTAAATTTGATCGGATTGAACATTAGTCCCTAACATTTAGCTCCACATATTTAGCAAAATTACAATGACATTGGAATAATAATAGTATAATAAGCATCCTGGCACAGACCCCAATATTTGAGTTGTACTGAGTTGGAAGAGTACATAAATAGTTATATGGTATGATTTCAGGTGCACGAGAAAGGTCCCTGCCACAGGTTCTAAAATTCCACCATTAGTGTATATTAATTTGGGTCTGTAAGACAAACATCTTCAGGAAAAAATCATATCCCTTTTAAACAACCTCGACAGGAGACAGGTGTCACAAATCTCAGTGAAATGAATGGGAATGGATTCAGGTCCCATACCTGAGGTAAGGTGGGAGAGACCTCAGAACAGGGGGGCTGTGTATGAATAGAGAATTGGAGAATTCCAAAGATAAGCTTTGCCTTTTCAAGACCCGCTTTGTTGAGCTGTCATAGGATCTCCAGCTTATTCTGAGAAATCTTTTTTTCTAGGATGTGGCAAAAGGCTGAAAGTTTTCTTGGCACCAAAAGCAAAGAATGAGGTAAATGTAACAGGTTAAGCATTGGGTCAAATAACACATGTAGCAGGATTGATTAAGTAATCTCAGTGTAGTGATATACAAATAAGCAATAGTTTTATTTATTAAATAACAGTTATCATTTATTAATTTTGAAGCCCCATCATCCATGCAATGGCATGCCAGTGCTTTTTGATGAATCCAGCCCTGTTCAGGGGTTCTAATCTATTAAAATTTCAGTCTCATTTAGACATTATTATCTCTGATCACCACCTTTGGCATAACCACAGTGAACTCTCTCTCCTTCTTCTCTCTCTCCTCCTTTGCCAGTTTATGGCAATATGAGAGTCTGAACTTTGGATGAGAATGGATGTGGTGGTCTCCTTTTTTGCGATCATCTCCCATTTCTGTCTCATACCCCACCCCCACCCCCATCCCGCAACCACCGCCAATTCCTGGATACCCTACCCAATGGTTCTTTCTGGGTGTAAGGCACTTCACCAAAGTAACAGCTGTCTGTAACTCCAGCCATGAAGCTGGCCTCTGTGTGTGCTCCACAGGCTCCCAGAGACCTCACAAGAGGTGCTCTTGGGGGATGGTGAGGGTCCAACTCTGACTTCTGTAAATTTTGGTGGCTTCTGCTTTAGCCCTTTCTGCACCTCTCTGCCCATATTGTATAGTGAAGAGTGGTGGTGGTAGGGTGGCCTTAAGAGTTCCTAGGGAGTGTCCGCTCTCCCCAACCCCTGCCTGGGGGGCCGAGCACTATGGTGGGTCTTTGAACTTACAAGTTGAAGCACAACACCTTGTGTTCTATGTTGTTAATAGTGTCTGTGGTTCTTGACAATTTCAGCTGTGAATATGTATCCTTTAGGTTTTAGCCACTGCTTTGCACAAGCCATGTATAGCCAGAGGAACAATTCCTTTGTGTTTGCTCTCAAGGACTGTATGACGACAGGAAGATGCATATTGCATACTTTATTCTGACACATTAACAAAACTCTTGGTTGCCCTAAACTATTACAGTGTGATCTTTGACATAATCTTGTACTTTTTTATTCATTGTGCAATTTTAAGACATAAAACATTAAAACATAAAACAAAGACCCATGAAAAACATCGGATGTTTATGGTTCCTTTCCACTTCTGACTTCTTGCTCCTCATAATTTTATTTTTCTTCTCCCCCGCCCCTCCTTTTTTTCTTGTTTGCTTTCTCTTTAATTTCTCCTTCTTACATAGTTGTTTACTCCCTAAGTAACCTATTGGTGACATTTCTTAGGCTATTCGGTGGCCCTCAGAAATAAAAAGAGTGTAGAATCTTGCATACTGATTAAGTGATTTATCCCAATTGGAGTATTGTCTCTTTCATTTGATCCTATTCCAACTAAAAAAAACTAAGTTTACTAAAATATGCTACAAAAATACTACCTTAAGTTTAGTGCATTAAATTTTAGGTTCATCATAAGTGCAAATTGCCAAACATTTTAAATGAAAATGTTTTCAGAAATTGATGCTGTTTAAATTACCAAGATGTTACTCATCGGTGGTTTTGATTTAGTAATCAAAGAAACGAAACACATTAGCATTCAGTTTCTGTGGAAGTTTTCTCTTGCTTGGCCTTCTGTTCTTCCACTGTAATTCCAGACACAACTACTAAGTTACTTGCACTGCTGGCATGCCCAGATCTATCTAATTTTCCCTGAAAGCCTTTAGCATTTCTAGGATGGCCGTGTAAGCTTTTTGACCTTAAAGATGGGAATCCCAAAGTTTGGTCTGTTTTCACAGACAGTAAGTTTTCCTTTCCAGTTCTGTCAGTAACAGCTAGAGATAAATGAGAAGTTTGAGGGACTGCTTCAGAAACACAGTTTTCATCTTCGGTATCTGTAAATTGTTCTTTCCGCTCAGCTTGCATTGCAGCTTCTGACACAATCAAAGGAATATCCGTGCTGTGAGAACGTGTGATCTTTCTAACTTGGTATTTCCATTCTGTAGTCCATTGCTGAATTGTAGAGGGGCCTGCTTGGTCCGTGACTGTACTGTACTCTGCACTCCAGTTGTTAGCCCCTCTGACCAGCTTTCTTCCACGGGAATATACAAAGCTTCTGGACTTCATTGTTTTACACGCATTGAGCGTTTCCTCGGGGTAATAGCGTGTCATTTTTGTTTCTTCCAGAGGATAGGAAATAGTGCCTTCTATCTCTGTGGTTTCCACGGTTAGCTGAGTGTTTTGAAAATCTGATTTGTTCTCTCCGTTCTTAACATCTGTTTGATTTAAACTTGGGGAAATAGTTTCTTCTCTTCTGGAGTCTGCCCGCCTTTCATCATCTTCAGCTGAAATCCCAATATCTGGACCTAATTTCGGCTCTGAGGTGTACTTTACGTTGTCGAATGCAAGTCGACTGCACTCTGGCGTTGCTGGCGTGCTTGTGCTGGATAGAAGGTGAAGGCTGCCCTGACGCTCTGGTACCAGATGTGTTTTTGGGTCCTTCTCTTCCTTCATACGGAAGGAACCGGCTTTTTTCCTGAATCCTGTCCCTGGTGGCTTGGAGACAGAAGTATCCTCACACAACAGCTCCTCTCCATTAAAATGATATCTACACATGCTGTAGCCGTCGGCGCTGCTGAGGCTGCTCTGCCTTAGAAGAAAAGTTGCATCGCATACAGAAGAAGCTCGGGACCGTGTCTGTATCAGGTCGGACCTGTCAATTCCTGCAAGATTTTCCAGAGCATTCACCATTCTGCTAGATAATTCTTCTAGTTGGGAAAGTCGAAGGTCAACAGTCTGTAGGGAAGTTTTCATAAAATTTTCTCGTTCATTGATTTCTTCCAACCTCATTGACATATTTTCAACCCTGGTGAATACAAAGGGATAGGTTTATTAAACTGAGATTAATTAAATATTAAAAGCAAAACTATGATATTGCTATACAATTTTTCAGTCTTTTGAGAATCATGGAACTCACTGGGCATATTTTCAAACTTCATGCATTCCTAATATAACTTCTAAAAATTACTGTGAGGAGCATCAGAAAATGATAGAAATACAGTTAACACATGTAGTACTATTTACCATTCATTGCTCTACGTGCTTTACGTATTCGTTAATAAGTACTCACTGAGGTGCTATTCTAGGCTTGTTTACTACTTACAACGGCCTTATGAGGTAAGAACTATTATCATCATCCCATTTTACAGATGAGGAAATAAAAAAGTCACGGAGAGTGTGAGTAATTTGGCCAAGGTCACACAGCTGGCGAACAGTGCAGCTAAGATTTGAATGCACACAGTGCAGCTCCAGCATTTGCTCCAGTCTTTGTCTCTTAGCTGGTACATCACATTGCCTCTGATAATAAAGCAAGATACTAGCACTTAGGTTTCTGAGTTTTGACTACAGCTGTCGGCAATTAATGGTTATGATGACAAAATAAATAAATTAAACTCCTTATTTGAAGTTCAGGGCATTCAGAAAATGAATTGTTAATAATTAAGTTCATATTATCAGATAGTTTACCTAAGGGACATGAGGTCCTTTAATTGTCTAAAGAATAGCAATAACTTTAAATTGCTCATTATATTTAATAATTAGTGTTGCCTTATGGGGTTGTGAGAAAGAAAGATCATGGCAAATTATAAATATCTGCTGTTAGATTTTTTTTTTAACTCCTAGAAGATCAGGCAACAGCCTATGAAACTGTAATGTTGCCTGAACTAAAACCTACTGGTATAGACTATGTTTTGTGTTTCAAGGATAAATATAGTGGGGGAGTCTTTCAACTGGTTCATGAAATTTAACTCTAAGAGGCAGCAAGGCATTCCCAGGACCTAAAACTGTTGTCTACAAGTTGAATTTGTGCCCGGGGTGGCCAGGGCAGAGGGCACCCTGGTGCCAGCTCGGAGGCTCTGGGCCCTCTAAACCGGGCGTTGTGGCAGTCTGTCCCAGCAAGGTCATTCCTGTGTGAAGGCAAACACTTCAGTCTGCTTTTGTTATGCTCTGGTTTTCTATCTTTTCACAGAAATGTACAGGCAGGCTGTAGGGTCACCCAGTTTGCACTGAGTCTGCTTCCAGCAGGTCTTTGCTACCCTCTCGACAACTCCTTATAAATCCCCTCACCTGTTCTTGCTTTCCTCTTTTCTACTTCCTGATCATCTGCTGCTTTTCTTGGCACGACGTTTCTGCTCTCTGCCTGACTACATCTCCCGTGCTGTCCTCACTCTGCTGCTTCTGCAGCTACCTTGCCCTACATTCTCCCAGAACTGCTTTTGCTAATGCTGTTCTTCTGCTGGCCACATTGACAGCTGCGCTGTGATGTGTGGGAGGGTCCTTGGCTTCTATTCTTAACTCTTTTCACAGGGAGAGGACTATTTATATGCCCTTAGGAAACCACATCATTTGAGCAGGAAGGGTCTGGCTTCCTGGAAGTTTGCCACCAGGCGGACCAAATTCACCAAATTCACTGTGTATGAGAAGTCCTGACTTCCTTCTTTTAAAGTTTCCCTACCATACATACTGCAGGTTCTAGCGGTTCTCTCTCCTTCTACATTTCAGGGACAAAGAGAAGAACTTTTCACTATGAATTTTCCATTACTTCAACTAAGACTTGGTTTATCTCTGTGAAATGTGTCTCCTTGCTCACTTCAAATCTGTTACCCCCAAGGATTCCTTTTGTGTTAAGAACCACGCTGCCTCTGTAACAGTCAAACTTGCAATCTTTTATCAAATACTACATTTAACGATAATGCAGCTGTGCAAACTTTTGAAAATAAATAACCTGGTGAAATATAGATAAGTATCTTTCCTCTCAAATATTTTATAATTCTCTGCTTCTTTTTTTTCTCCTGTATTACCTAATCCAGATAACAGCATCACAGGCCACTCACATGCAAGAAAGCAACTTCAAAGTCCATCTGATTCTTTAGTCTGCCTTACACCTCTCTGACCCCCCCCTCCCCTGCATTGAATAAGTTACCAAGCTCTGTGGTAGGACTCCTCTTTAAGGAGTCTCTTAAATCTCCTATCCCACCTGCCACTCCCTCAGCTGAAGCTGTGAAAGAAACAATGCTTCATGATGTGGCCTAGGTTAAGAAAAAATGTCAGATGCATATTTCAAGCTCATCGTAAACAGCTGCAGTGTGGAGACAGCACATTTTAAATGGCTATGCCAAATCAAGGGAAGTTGTATTGAGTTTTCATAGTATGTAGGAAAAGAGAAATAAAAAAATAAGTGTAAGTTCACATATATCTGAAATGATTAACAAAAAGGACAAATGAGGAAATATCTCCTATGCTAGCTATGTTTTGTGACTTCCCACAATTACTTAAAACATGTTTCGCAAATCTTGATATTCATACAAGGAGTGATTTCCATTTTAGATGGGGAAAGACAGGCTATCTAGGAGACAATTTGACAAGAGTCCCACATCTGTTTACACATTGAGTGGCAGGAAACACATAAGAGAAATCTATCATTTGTGACAGAGCTCTTAGTGAGATATGAGATTTCCTACATTTCGAGGTCTTAATTCTTCTCTCCTTTCACCACAGAGTGAAATACTTTTCAGCACAGCACAGAATACAAAAGTATTTTAGGTCCAAAGTGATTTACTTGGCTTTCCCATTAAATAAAGTTGATTCCCTCTTAAGACATATTTCTAATATGTCATATTTCTAATTTCATCTTTTCTTTTTAAAATTATCATGCAGTAAATTGACTATTTTTTCTTTTGGTGACAGTTCTTTGAATTTTAACCCATGTATAGCTTTCTATAACTAACATCACGATCAGGATCCAGAGTAATTCCATCACCCCCAGAACTCCCTCGTGCCACACCTTTATAGTCACTCCCTCCCCCACCCCCAATCCCAGCAACCACTGGTAGGTTCTCCATCCCTATGGTTTCATCTTTTTCAGAAGGTCAAGTAAATAGAATTACACAGTAGGTAAACTTTTGAGACTGGCCTCTTTCAGCATAATGTCGTTGAGATTCATGCAAGCTGTTGCATGTATCAATCATTCATTCCTTTCTTTTGCCAAGTAGTATTACATGGTATGGGTGTACCACAGTATCTGTTGAAGGACATTTGGGTTATTTCCATTTTTTGGCAAATATGAAAGGATCTGCTATAAACATTTGTATACAAGTTTTGTGTGAATATAGGGTTTTTAAAAATTGTTTTTATTGAGATATAATTGACATATAACATTGTGTAAGTTTAAGGTGTACAACGTACTTATCTGATTGCAATTTACATATTACAATATGATTACCACTGTAGAGTTAGCTGACACCTCTCTCATGTCACATAATTATCATTTCTTTTTTGGGGGTGGGAAAAATTAAGATCTAGTCTCTTAGCAGGCTTGAAGTTTATAATACAGTATCGTTGACTATACTCACTATGCTGTGCATTAGATCTCCAGGACTTATTTATTTACTGGTTGCAAGTTTGTATCCTTAAACATCTCCCTAGTTCCCCTACCCTCTAGCCCCTGGTAACCACCATTCTATTCTCTGTTTTTATAAGTTTGGCTTTTTTAGATTCCACATATAAGTGACATCATACAGTATTTGTCTTGCTCTGTCTGACTTATTTTACTTAGCATTATGCTAAGTTCCATCCATTTTGTCACAAATGGCAGGATTTCCTTCTTTCTTATAGCTGAATAATATTGCATTGTGTGTGTGTGTGTGTGTGTATACGCCACACATCTTCTTTATCCATTCATCAATTGACAGACACTTGGTTGTTTCCATATCTTGGCTGTTGTGAATAACGCTGCAATGAACATGGGAGTGCATAGGTCTCTTTAATAACCTGTTTTCATTTCCTTTGGATATACACCCAGAAGTGAGATTGCTGGATTGTATGACAGTTTTATTTTTAGTTTTTTAAGGAACTTCCATACTGATTCCCATAGTGCCTGAACCAATAAGTTTTAATTTCTCTAGGACAAGTACCTAGGAGTTGGATTGCTGGTTCATATGGTTAAGTGTATGTTAAACACTATAAGAAACTGCCAAACTGTTTTTCAGAGTGGCTGACCATTCTATATTCCCACCAGCAGTGTTTGAGAGTCCCAGTTGCTCAGCATCCTTGTCGATACTTGATATTGTCCACGTTTTTTGATTTTAGCTATTGTAATATGTGTGTAGAGGTTTCTTATCGTGGTTTTAATTTGTGTTTCACTAATAACTAATAATGTTGAACATCTTTTCATGGGCTTATTTGCCAAAACTTGTCCTTTCTGGTGTGTCTATTCTAATTTTTTGCCCATATTTTAATTGGGTCATTTTTCCCATTACTACTGAGTTTTGAGAGTTCTTTCGATATTCTGTACACAAGTCCTATATCAGATATGTGACGCCTATGTTTTCTCCCAGTCTGCACCTTGTTTTTCATTGTGATAGCAGTGTTTTTTGCAGAGCAAAAGTCTTTCATTTTGATGAAATCCAGTTTATCACTTTTTTCTTTTATGGATCATGCTTTTGGTATCGTGTTTAAGAATTCTTTGTCTAATCCCAGGTCATGAGGATTTTCTCCTATATTTCCTTCTAAAAGTTTTATGGTTTATGTTTTACATTTAGATATGATCCGGTTTTGGTTTCTGTATGTGTCAAGGTCCAATTTTTGCATATGAATGTCCACCTGTTGTTCTAACACCATTTGTTGAAAAGACTATTCATTCTCCATTGAATTACTTTTACACTTTTGAAAAAAATCAGTTAGCCATATTTGGGTGAGTCTCCTTCTGGGCACTTTATTCTGTTCCATTTATATGTGTCTATCCCTTCACCATTACCACACATAACCAACATTACTATAGCTTTATAGTAAGTCTTAAGATTAGGTGGT